ACCAGAAATTAGTAGTTACTGTAAGTTGATACCATAAAACTGCCTTCAAATTTAACATCTTTTGTACTGTAATGAGTGCAAAAGGCGATCTGACGTCGGTTAAAGGTTTCATAATGACACCAAGTTTACTGTGTGGCTTCAGTGTGTAAGTGTTTTCGAATCTTTCATAGCTGTAATTTTCCTCGTCTTTCTGCTCTCCCTTATTTCCATAAAAAAAATTATAATTTTACATCGCAAATATTCTGTTATCAGTTCTGAATGTCTGTAATAAATTAAATTATGAAATATTAAATTGAATTATAATTGAAATGAAATGATTTTCAGTTAAAGTCATACATCAATGCAATTCTCTACCGTAATTAATAATTTCAAATATTATTCAAATGAGAACTAAAGAGATATTAATAGTTTTATAATTTTTTACATTTTCATATTGCTGCAGTATAATTCATGTTAATATTACAGAGCATATTAATATAGGCTAGAAATATGCAGCTTTTGAACAGTCTATGTGAGGTGTCTTTATGAGATTATCTACATGTGTATCAATTGTTAGATCCTGGTTAGGCTTTATAAAAATGACTGATAATAAAATATATTAGAGGTATTGTCAATTCAACATTATATTTAAGATTGGCTCGACTCCAGTGTAGATCTTTCCTTTAAAATAATAAAAAAGATTAACAAACAAAAAATTCAAATAAGGGAACGAAAAAATAGCCCGTAAAAGGATTTACTAAATTTTACCAGCAATTAAATATTTTGCATAACTTATTTGGTTAAGATTTGAAATTACTAATCAGCTAAACCAAATGATGTCCACAAATACATGTAAAATTGTAATGTAATATTGTTTTTGATTCCATACAAGGAACCAAATGGTGCCTGCGACAGTTTTATGTGCTAACCTGACATCATCAGCTGTTACCAATACCTTAAAACAGAGACTAGACATTTGATCAAATTCTGAATAATGGCAGAAAAATGACAGGAAAGTGTCAAAGAGTCTTACTGGGGGAATATCAGGGTATAACATAACGCTACCCCACTGTCAGTATGGTAACATATTTAATCTTCTGACAGCTTTATAGACCTTCTGTGTAATTTTCAGGATTCGTTTTTTTAATCAGAAACTAAATTTAGTGATACATTGTTTTATTTTTAGAAATTTAGTGAAAATGATTAATGGAATGAAAGCTATAATCTTTTAGAATTGAGAGACACGTCAAAATCATGGATTTCCAATACAATTCGTTGAGCCATTATGTTTCAGCTGCGTACTTTGAGAATACTTTAGGTGAGGTTATTGCGCTTTTTGAAGACCCTAAACCCATACCTATTGGTCAAGGACACACAAGAAGTTTGTGCTTGCACTTGCATTTTTGAAAAATAAATTTGTACAGAAAACTTAGAATTTTTATTTTATTAATAGTTACAATAGCATTATATTCGATATATAACATGGCTCTATCGCATTACATTTTCATAGAAGCATAGATGATTGCAAACTATTGCAAAGATACATCCTGCATGTCCAGCAGTTTTAGAGAACCTCTTATCTTATAGTATGAATTATATACAAGTTATTTTTTTGCCTATTTAATTGTGACAATTTCTGTAGGTGCGTTATGTTGCACAATTATATTATGTTGTATTGTATATTGGATAGGCAGATGCATCATTATGAATTGTATAATAATAATATACACTTTATCATTTTATTGTATAATGGATAAGTAAGTATATAATTTTATTTTATAATGGATAGGTAAGTATGATATCTTGTACTTTATATTCACTGGATAAGTAAGTATATTCTTTTTTTATATTGTAATTAAGTAGATAATCGTGATTTGTATAATGGATAGGTAATTGTGTCATTTTATGTATAGTAATAAAAATGAAATGAAATGAAATGAATGGAGTTTTACGTCCTACTTTTCTGCACCATGTGGGCTAATGAAGACGGGCAACGCCATGCAGGGTGCAGTGAGGGAAATTTTGCCAGAACAGCGGCATTAGCCTGCTCCTTTTTTATCTCCAACTGTCGAAGGATTTTTAACGTGCACAGCCTGTAGCACACGGGGCCTCGGTTTATTGTCCCATCCGAACGACTAGACGTTTTTTCCATGTCAGCCCCTCTCACCTGTATCACTGACAGGGGAAACCGGAGTATAGTAATACAAGGTGACTATGAAATCTTGTTTATTTGATAGGTCAGTATATCATTGTGAATTTTAAAATGGATAAGTATATCATTTGTGTTGCATATCGGATAGATAAGTACATCATTTTGTATAAATTTTGATATATAGGTAAGTATATCATTATGGAATGTATAATGGTTATTTGAGCACCCCATTTTTGAATTGTATCATTGAAAGTAAGTATAACAGATTTTATTATGGATGATAAGTATATCATTTGGATTGTATATTTGAGGTAAGTATGGTATCTTATACTGAATATTCACTGGGTAAGTATAAATAATATAATTATATCTATAGTACTTTATGTTGCGAAGGTAAGTCTGATTCATAGCACGATGCACTGCATTGCATATTAGTGACAGTATAATTTGCCAGTAAAAACCTTTATATTTCTTGATGACGTCTAACGGATATGTATTGATTCGGGACGGGAACTCGAAGTACATAATACATAAGCTGACAGCAATACTACAGTGATCCATGACCATGTTTGAAAATCCGACTGAAACATAATAGTAAAAAAGCAAAGGGGATATCCTAGCTTGTTGGCTAAGGTTATTAAAAACTTTAATTTGACAAAAATAAGAAGTTAAACAATTGCCAAGTTTCAATAGTAGAGAGCCACATTTTAAGAGTGGGATTTCTGTTGAGTTATCGGCCTTTCTTACATGAAAATAAGTTTGCAAGTCTTGCTTTGGGCATTAATCTCGCGGTATCATTAGCCAGAGTCTGCGATTTCAATAATATATTTTTAAATGACTCCTTTTCGGGGATTAAATTGGGTTTTTATTATATAAATAATCTTCAAAGCTACTAGAAATGTACGAAAAGCACTCAATTCCTTAAAAAATACCTCAAATTAGGAATTTCACTTTCCTATCTAATATGGGAGATTCTCTAGAAAAGACGAATTGTCTTTGTAACTTTCAAACGCGGACACAAGTGAATTTTAGGACTCCAAGTTTGACGGTGAGCTGTGAACAGTATTACTGATTAGCTTAGCTAACCAAAAAATCCGTTTCTGTGATTAAGATATGATTGGTCAAACTGATGGCGAACTTTTCCCTTTCAGTATTTATACTGCAGAAATTTTAAAAATGAATGCAAAAAAAAAGGATTTAGGTGTATCTGGAATTAATAGATCGTAGGTGTTTGCTACGAGCAGGGGTGTAGTTACTTCTACCTAATCCTACAACATTACACAGAAATGTAGTTTGTTCCAAAACATGAAGGTGAAGTATATAATATGATAAGGGTTGAAAACATATTTCAAAGCGTATAAACAATGAAACTGAAATGTTTGCTGTGCCAAAAGTTACAGAAATTAATGGATAAGACCTTAGTGGCTTCTATACGTTGACATTAAATAACGCAACACAATTTTATGGTGTACTACTCCTTAGTTTTATTACACACTACGTTTCAACAATCTACATTGTCATCAACAGGTGACATGGATGAACCTTCTGACGGGGACTCATATAGTTGTTGTTCTACATTGTAGGAAGAGTATATTCTGTTTTCGCTTAATTATTTGTTCGATCTCCTATAAACCCGAGAGTCATGTGAATAAAAAGTCCTTTTATTACATATACTGTGGGATAATACGGCCTATATATTACCGATTGAATAAATGAATAAATAAATAAAAATAAATTATAGTTTATTTACATAGAGTAATATCGATAAACAAATCAATTCCACACGGAGATCAAATTCATTCATAAAACCTATGTAAATATTTCTAAATATAAACATTTTCTATGAAATATTCAACAGATTAAAAGTATATATATTATAAATAGTAAGAATACGCTGAGTTGTTATTTAGTAAATACATTTTTTTGCTCCACGTTTTATCTATGTGCCTATAGGGCTTTTATTATCAAGAATGTCGTACCATAAAACGCACGTACACTAAACAAACACAGCGCATATCGTCTATACCAAAGGCTCATTTTTTCTTAACTTAATTTCTTGATGTAAAGGGCAACTTTCTCCCCCCGCTGATGCCTTTTATATCTAGGTGGTTTACATAGACATAACAGCAAAAATACTGGCGTTGAGAAATAAACTGTGTCTAAAGGATATGTCATAATGCGTTGAACAAGTTACTCCTAGGAACGATTTAAATTCTGTTTTCAAGAAGTATTTGGTTTGTTTTCGAAAAACACCAACAAATTTTAAATCGATAAACTGTCAGTGCTAATTAATCATGGTTGAAAGTCACCGCCTTCTTAACGACTAGCTCACGCCCCGATGACTCCTCTACTCACTCAACCTAGCTGCCTCCATTATAAAGAATATTGTGAAAAATTTGCCTTATGTAGCTTTATACAACTCTGTATATTTGAAGTCGTATTTGAGTAAACATGGGTATGTTTGCCTGGGAATAAATTAATTCAATCGCTTCACCTTCTGTCCACCATTTTACACTCAACATCGGCCTAGGTTACATTCGACCAATCACAGACCAGATAACATTAACATCGTAATTTAATCTGGCACATAATGACATGTCAATCAAAAATGAAATGGATGTATGTCGACCAATCAGAATTAAGAAGACATACTATGTCGATGATAATACTGCTAGTTGTGTACTCAACTTCACTATTCATGAATAACATTGAAGGAATCAGATAGGACTTTTATATCAAGTGTGATTCAATAGTGAAAAACCAGCTGTGGTTTCGAAAGACCATGGCCGCTTCCAGTGCCAGTTTGTATCTTTCTTCTAATGTTCCGTCATCTTTAGCGATGAATCAAGGTGGATTGATGAACCATGGTATGCAGGTACACGGAAGTCAGGGACAATATTCACCGAGAGATATGCAGGAGTTAAAATATATACCACAACAACATCAAAATGGTCATCATTTAAGTCATCATAATCCGTGGGTCGGACTGTCACACGAGGCACAGCAATGGGGAGCAAGTATGGGTCAAGCGATGCACTCTCAAGAAATGAAACCGCATCCTAATCTATTGGATGGATCTGGAGGAACATTACATCATCGACCAATTCAACAAATTCATCCAGGTCATTCATGGCATAATGCAGTCACCTCATCTCATCTTCCACTGTCAAATGGAAATCACCAACTTCAACAATATGGTTATATGAATATGAATGGAATGATGTCACCTCATGGAATGCATCCCTTGGACCAGCCTGAATCTGATTTGGAACCACATCCACAATCTGACGAAGATACACCAACCTCCGACGATTTAGAAGCCTTTGCCAAACAATTCAAACAACGGAGAATAAAATTAGGCTTTACGCAAGCCGATGTGGGTTTAGCATTAGGAACATTATATGGAAATGTGTTTAGTCAAACTACCATTTGTCGTTTTGAAGCGCTTCAATTAAGTTTTAAAAATATGTGTAAATTGAAACCTCTGTTACAAAAGTGGCTAGAAGAAGCAGATAGTACTACCGGATCGCCTACCAGTATAGATAAAATAGCAGCACAGGGTCGGAAAAGAAAGAAGAGGACAAGTATTGAGGTGACAGTAAAAGGGGCTTTAGAAAGTCATTTTTTACAACAACCTAAACCAGCAGCCCCGGAAATAACTCATCTGGCTGACTCTTTACAGTTAGAAAAAGAAGTGGTTCGCGTTTGGTTTTGTAATAGAAGGCAAAAAGAAAAACGTATGACACCACCGATGACCGTAGGTCCAAACGGAGAAATGGTGATGATGTCGGAAGATGGATGTGAAAACAGTAAAAGTCCGCTACTGCATTCTGCAAGTAGTCCCGGCGACAATTCGAACGGATCACCTATAAACATTAATTGTAGTTTATCAAACAGTTTGTCACAAAGTTTGACAAATTCTAACGCACTTTCTAGTTTGGCAAATTCAGCGTCAATTCCTCAGGGTTATTTTACTAATTCTTATCTTCATCATCACCACCATCACCCCTCACAGCATTCCCCACCCCCACAGACTCATCATCTAAATCTGTCACCACACCACCATTGATGTTCAACAGGTGCCCGTTATTTGTGGTGGGGACCGAAATCTATAATATAAACAGATTGATTTATTCAAGTATTAAAAAGTGAATAATTGACGCTGACCTGGACATTGTTAACATGGTGCATTGTCAGTTCATAATATTCCAAACCAAAATAACACCCACAGGATGTGTTGAACCCTGATTCAGGGATTGTGCTATATAATCAACCATTTTAGATTTATTAGAAATTTTTTAATTTCTTAAATAAATCTGAAATTATAAACTAAATGAAATTCACAATTTACCACCAAGGAAAATGAACTGAAAAAGAGCAAAATAATGTAAGTTTGTTACAAAATTGAATAATTTTGTTTTGTTTTTGTTTTGTTAAAAATTATTATAATTTATTATGAAAACGTTTTGTGTTCTTTGGTAGTAAAATTGCGAATTGTGACTGTGTCTGAAAAGGAAACAATTTCATTTTTTGAATACCATTCAGTGCTTTTTGGAAATATTTGATTTAGTGAGAACTAATATTATTTTAAGATGGTATAAGGTCTCGTGTGATAATATTATTTGTGTAATTGAAGAGAGTTATGTGACTGTTTTGTTCGTGTGGAGTTACTGGTATGTATTCGTGCTTTCAATCTTGCCCATCATTTTATTATTGAAAATATCTTATAATAACATAATAATAATATTATACCGCTACTTGACAATCTTGAGTGTGATAATATCCACTATACCGTAGAAAATATCAGATTATATGGTAATTTAACACTGTACTTTTTTAAATCGTCTTTTAAAATATTACAGTTTTTCATTCTTTAGCGTTTCAAAAATAATTCACTTTATATTTGGCAATTCTAAATTCAGCTGAAATTTTTCCATCCTATGAACGTGATTTATTCTAATTGTTTAATTTCTTGTCAAGATTATTTTCAATAATAGGCGATATCTCATCGCTCAATAACATTGTAATTAATGTACAACTCGCATAATTTAAATTTAATGTATATTATTTACATTTTTAAATCTTATTTTATTATTGTCTTACATTCCAAATTTACAAACATTCAGCATAATTATCATTACGTTAACAAAAATATGTTCCAATACTCAAATTTCAAAAAATAATATTCCATATTTTGGCATAATACAATAATTTTATATACAGATATATCTCTATGTTATACGTCCTTATTTATGGTATGTGTAAAAAAACTGATTTTTAAAAAACTCAGAAATTTCATTCCTTTTATTTATATTATTTACATAAAATGAATTAAAATGTCTTTTTACCTGTTACTCTATATAATAAATTGTTTATAATTATGATCTATGTTCTATTTTATGTTATAAAATACATTACTATGGTCGAGTATAGAACAAGAAGCACTCAACTGAAAAAGGTGCAACATATTTAGATCATTATGAGGACTAAATATCCTTTTTTTATATAAATTAGTAATTAGATAGGCGCAAGAAAGTAATTGATGCGTGGTGAAAATAACACTACAAATATAGCTTATACTATAAAAATACACCTGTTGAAGCAAATATAATATTATATCATATTCATTGTAATATTTATTAGGGCAAATGTGATAAACATGATATTTGAGAAAACACATAGATTATATTTCACAATTTTATTAATGATTTATTTTCAAATAAAATTTCCTATTTTAACAGATACAGACTAAATCGAATAATACGAATTTATTACATTTCTCAAAATTGATTTTAGATTAGTTATATTTTTTCACCCCATTTCATGTTGATTGTTTCTTGTTCTATCCGTACTGCCCCTTCTAGACGTTGAATATTGGTCTACAGCCGTTGTCATAGTCCTAACAATTCTCGCCACACACCTGCAAAACAATGGCAAGCTTTAAATTCAATGATATAGGAGTGGGAAACTAGGTCGAATGCTTTTTGTCAAATCTAGTTATACAAATATTATACATTTTTGACAAAAACCCAGTTTTGTATTTTTTATTTTGGCAGGTAAAGGGCAATGGGAATAACTTCAAAAATTATATTATAAAAAAAAATTCTTGTGGACTCCACACTGCGAACTGTTACAATGAACATATATCTTTAAACTATTCATCCACACATTGGTCAAATTTGGTTGCATTCCAATTACATTTTGTGTAAGGGGTAATTCAACAATATGCTTGTCATCAATTACAACTTTATAATTCATTGAGACATTAAATTTTATTACTTTGGTTCACAGCAATGTAATCCTAATATATATAAGGGCAAAATCTAAACTATAAAAATCTCAAAACATGCACATCATGTTTGTCAAACTTCTTTCCTCGTGTAGACATTTCTGGTTTTATATTTACACCAATTGCTCATACATATACACCTAATACATATAATATTTGATATTTTAATATACAGACCCTTCACCTTTATATCTGTATAATATTATATTATGATATAGATATGATTCAATATACATTGATTTATCAAGATATTGGTATTAGTGTTCATTTCGGGATCGATTCTTGGCATATCATCATCAAGAGCATTACCTGATGTCAACATTGATATCAGGTTACGGTATGCTGGAATTGTTCTTTTTTTAATATTGAATACGGTTGTGCTTGATATAATATGATCAAATCAAAATAAATTTTTTAGAATAATTTTCTCAAAAATACCTTATTTTTTCAATATGAATAGAAAATACTGAAAAATTTATTATTGTTAAGGTTATACATACTTTAGATTTTCCTTGGAAAGACAATGCTAATAAAAAATGACAAATTTATCAGAAAATAATAGCCTTCGGAAACAGTTCATTTTATTTGATTGTCGCCAACCTCTCGACGATTGACAAGTGAAGGTAAAAAACTGTTTACCCTGAAGAAATAAACTGATAATTTGACCTAGCTAACTCTTTATTTTTACAAAACATTTCGTTTTGTTCGAATATAAAATTTGAGCCCTCATATGAAACAATATTGTAAAAAATCCATCTTTTGCTGCCAATTTGTAGCCTTTGAATCATTGTGATGTTCTTTGACATGAATTCCTGAAGTTAATTTTTAGATCATCTTTAGAATTTTTGTTCCATGTCTTCAATTAGCAGATACGTATAATTTATGTAGGCGCAAAACTGAAACATTAGCATACAGTTTTCTACACGAAGTTTATTAATTTCAAGTAAAATAACCGCTTAAAGATAAATCATTATTTTTAATTTAAAGTAAATTGTAAAATATCAGCCAATTTGGCACATGATCTTATTATTCTTAACTGCCTACTGATATAATGTTGTGTATTAACTTTGTATAAATAAAAATATCTTCACATTGGAGGAAAATGTATTTGTTTTTTAGATAAAATTGCGTACATACGAGAAATATTCTATTTGACACTGTTTTTTTGTAAAAGCTACTATGAAGTATTGAAAATTATCTTTAGATTAGTAGGTTAGTTGGAAAGTAGAAGTAAATGTCTTTTAGAATAAGCAGACTAGCTGTAATGGGTTTGTTATAGAATATTGCAATATTTCTTTAAGCTGAACAATTGGTATCGCATGCCTCGATAACTGTACTGAATAATTAAAATCTTAAGCTATTAAAATCCTAATCAATGGCACACGAAGAAAAATGAATAATAAACTGAATTCGATTTTCACTGTGCACAGATGAACTGAATATATATCAGCCTGAGTTTTCTAAAACATTACTTAAATATTCATGCTTTTACCACTTGAACATAATCTGGTCTTTGGTTTAGTGGAAAATAACATTAAGTGGTAATCATATGTTCTTCGGTGTTACATAATTTTAACATAGCATTGTGGTCTTTCATTGAATAATGGCGACATTCGCCTTACGTTGTACAGTGTTTTATAATATAGTCAAAGATATTTTGAGGTTTTCATTTCATTTTCAAATCTAAATCAATCATTTGTTCATATAAATTCAACATCTAAAACTTACTAATTTAGAAGTTATAATTCAATTCAATGCTTTCCAATTAAATAAAATAATTAGACCTAGACCTATCTATTTGATATTCATTATCGGTTTTAATCGCTTTTTGCATTTATAATTATTGCAATAATGACTTTTAATTGACAGAATCAATGTTGTTGCACACTATGGTTAAGTGTTGTTGTTTGTGATAGAAACTGTCGAAATATGTTATAATTTTGGTTCATCAAAACAAGGGTATTAACAAACTTTGTGTTGCATCATAAAAAATTGTGTAGACTATGTTGACAATTGCAGTGAGGCATCAGGTGTATTTTTGGCAAGCTTTATTGTAAATGTGACAATTTTAAGCATATTTGTTTCAGTGACGAGGCAATTGTGTGTTTGACTCTACCAATTCGTTACTCTCTTCTACTACAAAGTTTTAAGGGCAGATTGTGCAAGTTTTACATGCCACGAAAAATAAATGCACGATAATTTAATATTTATTATTATCTATTAATAAGTGTAATGCAAATAGAAATAAGACTTTTAAAATAAAACAAAATCAATACAAACTATGATGTGACTAACAAAAATGCAAATCAAGAGATGACTCAAATTAAAGGAGAACTTAAAATATAAAATGAAAAAAAAAGGAAATATTGGTGACTCAATATAATGCAAAATTCAAAGCTAAAATTGTTTTTAAAAAAAAAGGTGACCAACTGCCAACATTAATATATGCTAAAAGAGTAAACCAATAGTGTCGGTAAGTG